TTTCTACATTCCTTTTTTTTTTTGCTAGGGAATTTATATGGCTTATTTTATTCTCTCTTCAAAAGCAACCCTGCAAAGTAGAGGGTTCTATTCTTCCAGGTGAAGAACTGGAAGTTTAGGCGTGGTGTGGCCTTGGTGTGAGAAGAGCTGAGATGAAATTCCCCGTCTGACTGCAAAGCCAACCTTCCTCTTCCACATCACTGGATCTTTCCTACCTGCTCTTTTCAGCATTGCTATCTGCTGGACCCTAGGCTTTGATTGCTGTAGAGGTGCTTCTATTACAAAGGAAAACACCTGGCATTTGTCAGAACTGTGAGCCTCAAATGCAGTTGAAGTGCAGAGTAAATTGCAGTCCTGACTTTTAAAAGATTTATTAATCAGAGTTTGAGTCAGAGATGCTCAAGTGTTCTGTTATTCAAAGGGTCTCTCTGCATTACACTTCCCACCCTCCCACATATTCCTTCTTACCTAAATTGCTCATGGGTTCCAAAAGTGGGTTCCTGAGTTCACAGCTGATCCATGTCAGTAAACCCTGGGGAAAATCTTCATGTGTGATTCCATACATAGGTCTTTGTTGAGAAAGAGCCCTTTCTCTTGGGCAGTTTTAATGCCTTATTATCTAGGTGAGTATTCCAGAAGGAGTACACATGCATCTTGGTAGAATCTTATCAGTTCCACGGTTTATTAAAAAATATTTGAGTACCAACTATGTTCCAGGCCCTGCTCTAGGTGCCAGAGATAGAGGGTGAACGCCACTGACAAAGATTCTGCCCAGGCAGAACTGGATTTCTAGCACAGGAGACCCCTGATGAACAAGTAAATGAAGTCATCAATCCAGATGGGTAGGAATCCCTTTTATTTTACTGTCCACATTTGGCTGTTCTCCCACGTACTCTCCTTGAGATCAGATCATCTCCATTTTATTTTCTTGAGTGCCCACCTCTGGACCTTCAGATGTCCACGCCTGTGTCGTCACCTAGGCTCGAGTGTCCTCTTCTGTCTCCCTCCAGACTCCTGTTCATCCTTCTGCTCTGATCTCAGTTGTCCCCTCCTCTTGTTCTGTGTTATCATAACTGAACACCCTACATTGCAATGTCCTGTTTTTGTGGACACCCCTTCTGGACTCTGAACACTTTAATGAGAACATCTGTGTCTGACTTATTTTTATATCTCCAGGGCCTAGCATGGAGTCCTGGGAGTGGATGCTCTGTGTTTGCTCCAAGAGTAAGTGTTGAGTCCTATGGCACCTAGTGGTAGGTAGTGGTATTACAGGAGTTACTTCAAGGGGAGGAATGCTCAGTCTGGGAGGGAAAGCTTAACTCCAGTTCTGTGATTTTTTTTGAGAAGTTCAGCATGAGCATTGTCATGAATAGAGGTGTTGGGCTGGATTATAGACAGTGATGATGGAAGAGAGGTGGCATGGAATATTCTGGCAGGGCTTGAAGGAAACTTAGATGTGTGACGTTCTGAGCTCTAGGTCAGAAATGGAGGGAATACTAATGATGTCGGCTTTTATAGCTAACATCCAGCTGGGATGCAGAGAAGCTATGGCTTGACTTGGTTCCAACAGCTATTTAGTTGCTGATCAGGTGGGGGAACCAGGCCTCTCAGTTCAGAAGGGTTTTCATTATTCTGGGACTGCGGTTTGTGACAGATAAAGAAACAAAGGCACAGAGAGGTGAAGTAACTTGCCCCAGGTCACACAGCTGGTAAGTGGTAGAGCCAGGATCCAGACGTAGATCTGTCAGATGACAGAGGCCAGCTTGTAACCACTAAACTATCTTGTCTCTTCTTGGAGGTTATGAAATGCATCGTCTTAACACATTTTCAGTTTTCCTATTTTGTTAGCTGTATGCCTATATAGGTAAAGAATATTATTACCATGTTTCTTTTCTATTGAGATGCAGTTGTATATTTTCAGAAAAAACATTCACATTCTTCAGTTGTTAAAATCAAAGTCCCTGAATTATTTACTATGTATATATACACATACTCTATATAAATAACGTGAAGAAAGTTTTGTTTTTCTCTACCACTAAATTTAAAATATTCCTATTTCTATTATATGTCATTTAAAAATAAATATTTTATACTATATTGCAATGAATGAAACGTATTCCTTTAATTTCTTGCACATCAGCTCAGTAGTCAATGACTATTCAGAACATTTTTACCTGTGTAGGTTTTGCATCCCGTTCTCTCTAACAAATGCTGACATAAGGACTAAAAAGTGTTTTAGATATCATTCTTTCTACACACAGAAAAAGTAAATGATTTGCTTGAGTTTCAAAGTGAGTTGATAGAGAATAAAAAATGGAAGCTTTTCTCCTACATACTAGACTCACTAAAATTCCTGGCTGCATTCACTTAGCAGTCTAAAGCCCAGACCTGGGACCTCAGCCTGTTTTAACACACAGAAATGCTTCTGTTGGGGGGCAGGGAGGAGAGCCAGGGAAAGGCAAAGGGAGCACTGACATGATTGTTTCTAGGTCATTTCCAACCTTACTGTTATAACACAGTTTTCTACTTGGAAGATAATATACTCATTAAAGTGGAAGTGTTCGTTTTAAAATAAAGCAATAGGGACTCAAAATGGCTCTTCTAAATAGGCAAATGAGCATGCAATAAATGGACTTAATTTTTGTTTTTCGTGCTCAGTCATATTCTATATTAAGGCAAAGGAGTAGATAAGTAAATAGTTATTTATGAATAAAAAAGTGTATTCTCCATTTAACTTTAAAAGCCACTGATTAGAACCAAAATAACTATATTCATAGAAATACTGATATTGCCATGAGTAGAGATAATAGAATGATGCTCTTTATCACTTCATGTAATGTAGCTTTTAAAATGCACCCTAATTCATAAATGATGAAGAAAGCAAACAACATTATACAAATAGGATACTTTGGGTAATTAAACAAATTACAAAATTCTTGTCTCTTCCTCCTTTTTGCCCTCGTTTATTTTCATGGAATGACCTTTGGTACCAACTTAGTTTATAATAAAATGTTTCCTGAGTTTTTTAAAAAAATTGTAATGGCCTTTTCTGTCAAATATGGTATTTATGAAAGCTTCTTTGATGAAAAGCCTATGAATTTTGTGCAAATAACCCAGGCAGGTTCTTAGATTAGTGATAACATTTGTATAGGACTTTTATGGCTTTATATGAAACTTTTATATTGAGTGTATTTGACCCTTACCTGTGTGTGAGTAGTCAGTAAGAGTCACGTTTTACTGATGAAAGCAATGTAGAGAAGAGTGCCTTGGCATGGTTCTGGGTACATAGCAAGTATTCAACATGCACATTTTATAATAAAATTAACATAGGGAACCCAACATCCAACAGGTTATTTAACTTACTTGAGATTACCCAGCAAATATATTGTCATACCAAGAATTGAACTGGCTTCTTTACTGGAAAATTCCATGTGTTCTCATTGTCTCACTACCATCTTTTCAGGCATTTTAAAAGTCAAATTAAAAATTTTCATTCTTAATTGAGGTGAAATTCACAAATGTATGAGTTTTTATTTTGAGTTGTAATAGTCTTTCTTCTGTCATTACTGCTTTTATCATAGCCCATCTCCTATATGCATAACAGTACTCATAAAATTAACCATTTTAAAACATACATTTTGGAGGCATTTAGTACATTCACAGTGTTCTCTGTAGCCATCACCTCTATTCGGTTGAAAAAAGTTTTGATCATCTGCAAAGGAGACCCCATGTCCATTAAACAGTCTCCTCAATGCCTTCTCTCCCCAGCTGCTAGTAACTACAAATCTGCTTTCTGTCTCTGTACATTTCCCTGTTCTAGATATTTCACGTCAATGGAATCTTACAGTATGTCACTGTCTTAGTCCATTAAAGCTACTGTAATAGAATACCATAGACTGAATAGCTTATAAACAACATAAATTTATTTCTCACCATTCTAGAGGCTGGAGAGTTAAAGAGCAGATTTAGGCAGATTTGGTGTCTTGTGAGGGCCTGCTTCCTGGTTTATGAATGGCTTCCTCACTCAGAAACATCTCTCTGGGATCTCTTTTATAAGGGCACTAATCACTTCCCAAAAGCTCTATCTCCTACTACCTTAGGGGTTAGGGTTTCAACATGTGAATTTTGAGGGGACATAAACGTTCAGTCAATTGCAGTGATCTTTTGTCTCTAGCTCCTTTTATTTAAGATAGTGCTTTCAACATAAATCTATGTTGTAGCATGTATCAGTGCTTTATTATTTTTTATGGCTGAATTATATTCCATTGTAGGGGTAGGCCATATTGTGTTTATCCATTCATCAATTGGTGGACATTGAGTTATTTCCATATTTTGGCAATTGTGAATTGTGCTGTTATGAGCAGGCATGTTCAAATGTTTGTTTGAATAACTGTTATCAGTTCTTAGGAGTAGAATTGTCAGGTTATATGGTAATTCTATGTTTAACCTTTTGAGGAACCACCAAACTATTTTCTATTTCCTGCCAATAACATACAAGGGTACCAATTTACCCACATCTTTTCTAATGCTTGTTATTTGAGGTTTTGTTTTTATTATTATAACCTGCCTAGTCGGTATCAAATGTTATCTCTTTGTGGTTTTGATTTACATTTCCCTGATAAAGTATTCAATATTTTAATGCAGAGAATTAATCATAAAATGAACTTTGGTAAAAAAATAAAATCAACATCAAAATGCATGGTTTTATTTGTCTTCAGGAGATTACTTAAGACTGGTATATAATTACCTCCAGAGTACACAGTTCTGGGCAGAATAATAAAGAACATGTTGCTTTGGGATTAGAAGGGTGTATGTGGACAATAAAACCACAATCACCCCTAAGTTTTTAAAAATACTGTTTCAACAAATGAGGCAAAAGAAGAAATTGCATCATGTTTTGTTTTCATGCCACCTGCCAAAGGATACTTAGTTCTTTGTACTGCAGGGTTCTCATTATATAATCTTGCATGTCTTAATGGCCTATTCATTTATTTTTGCAGTGTGAGTGAAGATACCCAGGATGGCTCAGGGATCCGGAGATCAAAGAGCAGTGGGGACTGCTGACCCAGAGGACAGTTCTCCAAACATGATAGTCTACCGCAAAGTAAGGCACCGGGTTCAGTGCTGCGATGCTGCCTGTGTGTGTGTCTTCCGGGTAGGGTTGACTGATGGTTGACAGCTCAACAAATGTTTTCTCGCTAAACTGCCTTGACTGATAAATGAATATCATTTTCTTTTCATGTCTTCTGATTCTCCGGTTCTAAAGTTCACGGAAGTTAGTTGTCAATACTTATACTAAGTATTGAATACTTGGAAATGATGTGATTTTTTTTTCTCTTTAAACTAAAAGATCACCTAAGCAATACAGATAGAAACATATTCTCTTTTGGTATAAAGGCCTTACTGTAACATTTAGTAATTGAATGTTCTTTGAGCCCATGGTATGTACAAGAACTGGTCTAGATGCTATGGGAAGATACAGAGGTATGTATGTATTAAGTGTTTGCAGTTGGTGATAGATATAAGCTATACACAAATAAGTGTTCATTTCCAAAAGAGAAATGCAGGTAGATTGTTATATAATCTCAGAGGAGAGAGTGGTTACTTCCAGTCTCAGAGGTCAGGGAAGAGCTTATGGAGGAGTGGTCTTTGAATTCTGTTTTATAGGATGGATAAGACTGCTTATTTGGAAAGAACGACATTCCAGGTGGTAAGACACATTCTGCAAAGACAAGGATCTGGAGAAAATGAACAGCAACCAGAACTGGTTAGCTTGGGCATAGGATGATTTACTAGAAGTGAATGGAGGTAGGATTCTGGGAAGAGACGCTGGCTGGAGTCAGATTTTAGAATGTGAAATCACAGGCAATTTAATTATGGAAAACTTTTATCCTGGGAGTTGTAAAATAAACATCTCTTCGGGAATATGAGCCTTGTCCTCATGCAGCAAATACATTATTATCAGGGTAGATTGGAAGTTCCAGAAGGGATATTTCTGTGTTGGTGAGAAAGGTAAGGAGGACACTAATCTAGCAGAGGACATGCCCTGCAGAATTGAGCAGGACTGAGCAGAGGAATTAAAGAGTCTGAATTAAAAATGACTTGGAAACTGATTGAATATGGAATTAGGAGGTGAATAGAGAATCAAAGATGATTGGATTTTTTAACCTTGGGTTATAGAAAGACATTGATGTTATTAATTCAAATAGATTTGGAAAAATACATTTTAAAGGAAGGAAATATGGCACATAACTTTTATTTGTGCACATACCAAATTTAAGGAAATAACTGCATCTTCTTTTTTTCTACTTTATTTTGTTCATTAAATTCCATATGTAAGTGAAATCGTATGTGTTTCTTCTTACATAACTTTTTAATGTTTATCTGTGAAAATTTAAACTATATTACATATTAAGGAAAATGAATTAATGTCCATTCATTTCATTAAATATTTGAGTTGTCTGCTGGGTTCTGTGTATTCTGCATGACTTTATGTTTGATCTCTGTTAATCACATGGGCAATGTTGAACTGGATGTTTCTGTATGATCAGTATGGTGAATTTTTCTCTTTTCTGCATAAAATGGAACTCTCAAACTATTTCTGCTTTGAGTTTCAAATTCCTTAATTCTTTGCTTTGCAAGAGAATGCTTTGATAATCTGTTTCTAAGAGAGATGCTTAAGTTGTGGTAAAGAAAAATACGGTTTAATGGGACTAGCCAATTAGTGAGTCCTACAGAATAATAGAAAGGTTTTTATTTATCATTATCTTCGTAATCCACCTCAAACTGGGGTGGAGACCCTATGCCTGGCCTGTAGAAACATGGAGTTTGGAGTAGACCTGGGTTAAAGTTGCAACTCTGCCACTTCCTAGAGGTGTGACCTTGAGTCACTTATTTAACTTCTGTGAGCCTCAGTTTCTTCATTCATGGAAAGAAAAAAATCTTAACTTGGGAGGAAGGATAGTGCTCATGGAGTTATTGTGAAGATTTATTTAGATGAAGTAAATAAGGTGTCTTACCTCTTGCTTGGCGTGGAGGTGGTCCATAATGAATACTTTTTCTTTTATCTTTAGGTCTTGTAGAGACAGTGACACCAGAGACAAAATACATTATAAAATGTATAAATGTTGATACTGTTAATAAGTTGACTAAAGTATGTTCATACAGTGAGCTGCTTTTTTAAGACACAGGAAAACATTACAAGTATATTTAGTTTATTTAGAAGATTACAAATCAATGTATTATTAAAGGTTAATGGGAAATGTAAAGGTCATGTAATTCAAATACCTTTCTCCTGGAATGTTTGCTGTTATGTTGAAGAGAAAACTTTCTACAAGGTTGTAGAAACTTGATTTTTACTTTTTTAGGCAGTAGCCGGGAACTGCTTTTTTTGGTTTAATTGAGAAACAAAATTGTGAATTGCTGTAGTTCTTTAGAGAAATGACCACTAGTCATTTGTTTTTTTGTTTTTTTTTATATTGGAAATATGTCTTGCTTCCTCATGACAAATTTATGCGCAGGAGTATTCATGTGTTCATGTTATTTGACATATTAGTTAATTACTATAAAAGGGATATTGGATCTGTTCCATCTATTAGAAATAAAGAAGATACACTCGTTGCCCAGGATGGGTCCAGGACCTGGAATCATTTAAACCTAGTTCAGCTGGCTGGCTTAAGCCACAGTTGTATTGGAAACACACAACATGCACTGAGTTCTTCTCTAACTCTCAGTGTTGTAGCCTAGCTGTTGGCTATGGCCAAGGAGTACCTACTGCACAACGCTATCCTCAAGGTGTAGCTAAAGATTGATCCTTGAAACCACAGTCAATTCAAAACATTTTCTGTGGACATCCTCTATGTAACAGTTTATTCAAGACTAGCTATAAATCCCGACCTTTACTTGGAGGTCTACAACAAAAATTTACATTTAAAAAACTGTGTAAATAGTGCTTTCATTTTTTTTTTCTTTCCCTTGTTTGTTGTTTCTTTCTCTTGTCAGACATTTTCAGTGTGAAATTTTTGCTTGGATTATGCCATGTCGATTTAGATGCTGACATTTTAAAAGCCAAATCTAGAAAAATGGAGCTTTTGGATAGACTTCCAAGTAATAAGCAGGATGATTATGTCCATAATGTTGTTGTGACTTTTAAATGCCATCTGAGGTGGTAACCTTCTGACATATGAGTAATGATGGGTGGGTTTCCTAAGCTCACACATTTCAGAATACTCTTCATTTTCTTTTTATGTTTTCTATGTCATTAACTGTAAGAAGTTGTACTTTCCCAATGCATGATTTATTTATTGACTTGAACAGACTTTTTAATTTACTTTTTCATCCTTCTTATTCACATTTCAGATTGGAGGTGTGTATGAAAAATGTATTGGCCCCATTAAAAATCTATTTAAAAGAAAAGCTTAATTATTCATTAAGTTGCCTGGACCTGCTAACCTTTTTTATATTCCTGGGTCCAAAAGATCCTTGGTCATTGAACTGCTCAATGTAGTGATGCTATTTGAACCTGGCTGTATATCAGATCATTTATAAAAATTATAAAAATGCTGACCCATAAAGATATTTTTATTTGATAGATCTGAGTTGGGTCCTAGGAATCTGAGTTTTAAAAAGTTGGAGTCTCCTCAAAAATTTAAAACTTGAGCTCTATTATGACCCAGTGATTTCACTTCTGGGAATATATTCAAAGAAACCTGAAACACTAATTCAGAAGAATATATGCACCCCTATGTTCATTGCAGCACTAGTTACAATAGCCAAGATACGGAAGCAGCGCAAGTGTCCATCAGTAGATGAGCGGATAAAAAACTTTGGTACATTTACACAATGGAATTCTACTTGGTCATAAGAAAGAAGGAAATTTTATCCTTTGCAACAGCATGGACAGACCTGGAGAACATTGTGCTAAGTAAAATAAGCCAGTCAGAGAAAGACAAGTACCATATGATTTCACTCCGATGTTAAATCTAATGAATGAAATAAACTAACACACAAAATAGAAACAGACTCACAGATAAAGAACAGACTGACAGCTGTCAGAGGGGAGGGGGGTTACAGGACTGGGTGAAAAAGGTGAAGAGATTAAGCCAAAAAACAAACAAACAAGACTCATAGACACACACAAAAATAAATAAAATAAATAAAATGTTTTCAGGGGAATCTGACACCCAACTAAGTTTGAAACACTCTTATTTAGGATCTTTTACAACATCCAGGTGGATGCTTTGCCAAGAAATGGGGAAGTTGGTGTTTCGAAGTGGGTTTTGGATTTTGTAATTATTTGTACATCTCTCAAGATGTAGAAGAACCAGACTCTTGTCATAGAGTTAAAAATTAGGGATTTTAATGTGTGTGTGGGCAGGGCAGTGGGGAGCAATGGGTGAAAAATGGGGACAATTGTAATTGAACAACAAAAAATTTTTTAAAAAACACAAAAAATTAGGGATTTTAGTAGCTTCATCTTAAAGATTTTTCTAGGTCAACACCCTCAGTTTATGGGTGAGAAAACTGAAGTATGGAGAGGATGAGTAACTTGCTTAAATTTCCCAGGGATTATGTCCAGGTAGGTGGTCCACCCTCATCAAAATCTTTTTTACCACCATAGTGTCAACCACAAACAACCATTACCACGTCATTGAGGCTCAACAGACATTGGTGAAATTAAATAAGTGAAAATAGTCTGCAGCAGGTCTTTTGTTTCTGTATTATAAGAATAAGCATATTCTTAGAGAACCGGCTTGGGTTAACACTGAACATTGTAGTGCCAGCACATCATTCTTCTTGCTGGTACTCTAGTTTCCGGCATAAAGACTTTCTGAAATGTGTACTTTCTTTTGTAACTGGAAAAATTCTTTGAGTAGGTTACTTTCTGATTTTGTTTGGTTCCCCAGTGGTGGTAACAATGTCTCCTGACAAACTTCCAACTAGACTATTACCTTGATTTGGTAGAACTCGGGGATATTAGATGGTTGTGGACAGAGAAAACTGTGGCTTCACATGACCCGGGCTTGAGTCAGTAGGTGGAAGATGCAAGACAGGGAGCTGGGAGCTCTGGATATCTGGTCCCAGCTCCTATGCTTACTGGTTCTTTGGAT